AAGCGAGGAAGAGTCACGCATGCTGGGAGGGGAAGGGGGAAGGGGAAGGGAGGAAGGGGAAGAGGGGTGTTGTTCTTTCGTCATTTTCGCGCATGCAAGTCAATAAAATAAAGTTTTTCGAATTGATTAAGTTTTCGATTGATGTGAAACGAAGCTTTAGATTAAATGAATTGTTCTAAATGAACAGTTGTGGAGAAGTAATGAAAATTTCGAATAAAGTTACTTTAAGCGATTATTATTTCAAATAATTTTATTTGAAATAAAGTTCGAGTGATATTTGTTAATTTTATTAAATTGGAATAGATAATTACAATAGGATAATAAATTGTTGAATTGGTAACTTTATTCTTAATTTGGGCTAGTAAAATTTTTCTGGGGCGCGAAATCGTCGTGAGAATCGTTGGAGAGTCGTTAGAAAGTCGCGAGAGAGCTGAATCGAACGAAAATAGCGCATAATGCTTAGTTGCAAGAAAAACAGTCTCTCCGATTCATTCTCGATATCTCTAGTTAAAGAGCGTAAGAAAAATTTCACTCGACGAAAAGCCAAGGCCCAATAACAACTTCTAACGATTCTTTCGAAAATATTCGTATCATGCTCGAGATTGTGAACGAATAGAAACGGAGGAAAGTGAAAAAAATTTCACTCGACGAAAAGCTAAGGCCCAATAATAATTTCTAACAATTCTTTAGAAAATATTTGTATTATGCTCGAGAAAAAAAAAATTGCGAACGAATAGAAATGGAGAAAAGTGAAAAAAAAAAATTTCACTCGACGAAAAGCTAAGGCCCAATAATAATTTCTAACGATTCTTTAGAAAATATTTGTATTATACTCGAGANNNNAAAAAAAAAAAATTGCGAATGAATAGAAATGGAGAAAAGTGAAAAAAAAATTTCACTCGACGAAAAGTTAAGGCCCAATAATAATTCTTTCGAAAATATTCATATCATGCTCGAGACAAAAAAATTGCGAACGAATAGAAACGGAGAAAAGTGAAAAAAAATTTTCACTCGACGAAAAGCTAAGGCCCAATAATAATTTCTAAAGATTCTTTAAAAAATATTCGTATTATGCTCGAGAAAAAAAAAAAATTGCGAACAAATAGAAACGAAGGAAAATTAAAAAAAAATAAAATTTCACTCGACGAAAAGCTAAAATCCAATAATAACTTCTAACGATTCTTTAGAAAATATTCGTATTATACTCGAGAAAAAAAAAAAATTGCGAATGAATAGAAATGGAGAAAAGTGAAAAAAAAAATTTCACTCGACGAAAAGCTAAAACCCAAAAATAACTTCTAACGATTCTTTAGAAAATATTCGTATTATACTCGAGAAAAAAAAAAAATTGCGAATGAATAGAAATGGAGAAAAGTGAAAAAAAAAATTTCACTCGACGAAAAGTTAAGGCCCAATAATAATTCTTTCGAAAATATTCTAATGAATAAAAACTGAGGAAAGTGAAAAAAAAATTTCACTCGACGAAAAACTAAGATCCAATAATAACTTCTAATTCTTTAGAAAATATTCGTATCATGCTCGAGAAAAAAAAAAATTGCGAATAGAAATGGAGGAAAGTGAAAAAAAAAATTTCATTGGACGAAAAGCCAAGACCCAATAATAACTTCTAACGATTCTTTCGAAAATATTCGTATCATGCTCGAGAAAAAAAAATTGCGAACGAATAGAAACGAGGAAGAGACTGAAAAAAAAAAAAAATAAATAAATCCAATCAACGAAGCAACGATGATAGGATGAAGCGGGGGAGAGGTGACTCGAAGACTTACGTCAGAGGTCTTCCGAGCCTTCTTGTTAGCCGGCTCTTCCCTGTTCTCGTCGTTTTCGTTGTCGGAATGGCGAGAGCTTAGATGACCGATGTAACCTTTACGGGATTTGAAGTAAGCGTTACAGCTGTGGCACTTGAACAGTGGCGCCGGCTGGGTGACCTGGGTGGAGACGTGGAGTTTGTACTTGTGCCTGTACCAACGGGTTCGAGACGGTAGCACTTCGCCGCACCACTTGCAGACTACGGAACCGTCGTTTTGAATGAGGTATTCCAGCAGCTTGTAAAACAACGTTTATTTGGTT